AAGACGTAACTCAATGCAGACTCGCATCATTTTTCTGTAAAAGGTAATCGTTTTGGATCATTCGTGTCACACATCTTTCCGTGGTTGATGTACCACTAGTAGTCATGTTATATTCTCAGAAGCATTCCACATAATCCTCGAACATGAAAAAATTCAATAACGTTTAGTTTTAATAGGAAGCGTGTTTAAGAACATCGTAGACCTTCCGATACTGGAATCTCCGCTAAATGATGGAAACGCAATATTGAGATTTCTTCCTAAGATTTTCGTTTACTTTCTGCTTAGAACTGGCTTCTATTTTGCAGCAATTTCATAATCCATCGCTATTTTGAGGCCCAATATCAGGGGTTTATTTGTTTTACTTCAAATCCAAGTGAAAGTTCCTAAACGGAAGCTAGATTGTAATACTCGTCACGGGTAACGCAAAATCTTCACCAATTGTGTCTATTGTCACAGGAACTCAAGTTCGATTTAAGTTTATTATTAGCAAATGTCAGTGGATATGATATTCGATGTCAGGCTGAGAATATTCCCCATAACATGAACCTCACGTGGTTGAATAGCGTAACGAAGTTAAAGAAAAATTCTTCAAGGTCTTCTGTTTATTTCAGGATGACAATATTGTTTTATGTGAGGATAATCGAAGAAAATCTTAATCATCTTTTAGGGTCTTAGAGGACTAGAGAGAACTGGAATTAGACAGTGTGTTTATTTCAGCAACAGTTGGTGATAGAGAGAAAAGATTCTATAGATTCTTGGTTATTTAAAGTTTGGGCCAAAGTTTGGTGACTGATATATTTAAATGTGGTCCAATATTGATAATGGCCGTAGCAATCTGGATCTAAATTCTGTGTAGATGTTCGACTAATTACCTCTTTGTTGGCTAGTTGATTTGAAATAATAAATCATAAGACAGATTTGCAGCGTTCTTATTAATTTTTATTATAAGAATTGTTATTATTGCTACCTTGTTGTTGACATCTCGGGGTGACAAATTTATGCTATAAGAAAACAAAAGTTTTGTCTGAAAAGGAATAAATCTCTAAGGATGGGTTTTTGTGGGAAAGAGCCGCCAAATGAGGACCTATTTGGTAGCTACAATCTTGAAAAAAAAGGACAACAAACTCCACTTCCCCCCTCCACCCCCCCCCCTCCGAAATTAAGAAAGAAGCCGCGGAAGATGTACCTTTTTTCCATTCATCACTTTTGACGCGCAAGTTATTAAAACCAATTTCAAGGCGATTACATACCCGTTTTGCCACCCGAAAATAGAAATCTAATATTGTACTCCCGTGTATTATTCCTAGCTGTATATTTTAGTGAAACAAAAACGAGTCTGTCAAAGAATCCTGTCAAATAAATAAATTGTGTCTTGGAACGTACATATGAGAAAAAATATAAAACCAGGCCCCGTTTCAAACGTCGTGCTACTGCCGTCAGCCGAACTAAATTGATCGAATTAAATTCGACGTTAGCACGGCAGTAGCGCGACGTTTGAAACCAAGTCGTGCTTCACGGCAGTAGCTCGACTTGGTTTCAAACGTCGCGCTACTGCCTTGCCGACCTCAATTCATAAATTATACTTACATTAGAATACATTTAAATTTTGCTAAATCGATTCTTTATTTTTGTGTTTCGTTTTCGGCAACAGCCATTCTATTCGCACTAAGAGGTCATATGACCAATGCTTCCTTTAAACAATGACTTGGAATCCTGTTGATGACAAAAATTGACAGAGCACATAAAAACTATCTTACACCCGAAATTTGAGAAAAAACGCATTTAAGGGAGGTATTTCACAGCACGTAACAAAGTAGTAGTAGTAACAAAGTAACAAGGTAGTATGATTTGTATTGGCCGCCATGTTGGAGGGCATACTCTTGCCCTCCAACATGGCGGCCCAAACTACTTTTTGTTGGTAGCTTGTTAGACGTTTGATAGTTACGCTCAGATGAGCTGTAAACGTTAGCACATCATCTTTTCAACAATTTCCTTGAAGTTTAAGTGCAAAATTTCTGTTCAGAAAGAGGTAATTCATAGCGGAGCTCCGCGCGCGAACCGCGCCAGCGAAGCACCATGGGTAAATAAATCTACCCATGCCAGAAAATTTGGTAATCACGTGACCGGCCGACCAACCGAGCGACCGTCCGTCCGCACCACAGGCATACCAGTGTTTACTCTCACACTTTCTAGCTACTTTGGGAGTCCAGGAGAAAGCTGATTGCACATCAATGTTGTCATCAATTGACTGCTGTCAAAACAGGGTATCCACTGACCAGTATCACCTGACCGTATCACGATCTCAGGTGTCGACCCATCAAGGTCGAGTATGTTTTGAAGTTATCCGCTGACAATTTACTCGTTTTCAAATGATCGCAGGCTCGCGTTTACTTTTTTTAAATTCATATCAAATATGTTGTGTTTGTCAGTATCGCCCCGCACTATTACGATTTTGATTTCAAACTGGCCTCAGACGCAAAAATTCAGCCAGTTTTTTTAAAATGCAGGCGGGAAGACTTTCTCTTACCATGGTCACGTGTTGATCACGCTCCACGTCCAAGTTTTATGCTCTGATTGGTTCAAATTTGACAGGTGAGTTCATGCGTAAAATTTATCCAGCATCTTGAAGGTTGTTTACTTTGACAGCTCAAGCTGACAGAGTTTTGAGTGAGCTTGTGATGTTTTTAACTGTCTTTTTTCACTGGTTGTAGAAAATGAAATACAGCTGCTATCAAGGGTCTTCTCTTACTCATGGATGGTTTGTTTATTGGGTTTTTGGTTGAGAAATGCGTCACTTGTAAAAGCCGATAATCCGATTTCGGATGGCATCGTTTTTGTTTTTCACGACAGTTATAAAAGCTCAAGCGATCCTTGCCTTACTTGATAGCTTTCAGGAACTGCATCTCGAAATATGGTAAGCCTGAGTAATTATTGTATTTATATCTAATTTTTAATGAAGTCCAGCGGCGCAGTTTATGAAGCTAGTTTATGCACGTTTGATATAAGGTTAAGCTTACAGAACTTTAAAAAGCCTTTAGTCGATATTAATTCACCGTAAATAGAAAGAAAAGATTTTCCGAAGAATATTTAGTTATAATTTTGGCTGTAGAAAGAAAGCTTTGAGCGATTTTCTTGTCGTGAGTTCATCTTTGAAAAAAGCAAATCACCGGGAAACCGGCGGCTTAAAACATAAATTTATTCTTTATGCTTACTAGTAAACACTTGAGGATTCTTAGAGACACTTAAATACTCATTTGTTTTCGTGAATGAAAATTGTTGTCTCTCTAAATGTTCTACCGAATTATATTTCTTTATTGATTGTTGGTAGTCTCAAAACTGTAATTTTCATCGCTTTGCCGTTCGTTTTCAGCCGTTCATAAACATCGTTTGCAGGAGTACTCAAAATGCCGAGCGTATCAAGCGCTTTTTACGATTACAAATCGTTATTAAACCATTAATAAAAAATAGACTCAATAAATTCTTTATCACGTTGAAGCGTAACTCTTTTAAAATTTCTTCGCAAATTTGGCGGTTGTCAAAAGTTCGAACCGGCTGGCCGTATAGGTGATTAAAAGTCCACGCGTGCTTCGATGGCCCTGAATATTGAATGAATGCAATTTGTCTTGAAAAAGTGTGAAATACTGCATTTTGTACGAGGTCTGTATGATAAAAACAGCGCCTCATAGTACTCTTTCTCCTCAGATGTGGTGTACAAAAAATATATAAAAGATTGGTTTGCACGTACCCAGATTTATTGGCAAGAATTTGTAAACTTGTTGAACGCAAAAAACTCGGCCTGATTTGTTTTCCAAGAATTTGTTTTCCACGCCTTATCTACTCTAATCAAGAGCCATTATTGCTCTTAAATGTGACCGAAGACTAGTTTTTGGTGTACATATAAGGCTATATCAACTCGATACAAGATTTGTTTCACTCCAAAATCACTTAGCTTTTCCCTCCAAAGTCACATGAATGTGTCCTTAAGTTAACTGATTTGTGGAATACAAAATTATTGTTTGATTTAAGTTATAAATTTATCAATGGGAGCTTCGCTTTCAGCCGTGGCTAAATCTATATATTAGTTTTGAAAGTCACATTTTGGTCACGTGACCAGCTAAGAACTTACTCATTTTAAGAAAGTGGTGCGGTTTTGAAAAACTAAATCACTATTATTTCGTTTAAGATATGACTCACTAATGGTTTTTCGAAGGCAAAATCATATAACTTTCATTATTTATAAAAATGATGTCAGATGACCTCTTAGTACAAATGGCCTATTGAATTCGATGTCTGAAACCAAGTCGTGCTAGTGTCGTGCTGCAGTCGAGCTACAGTCGAGACAACTTAGCACGGCAGTAGCACGACGTCTGGAACAGGCCTAACTGAATTAAATTATCAGCTTGTTAAACAATTAACGAGGATAGAAAAATTACGAGCTGTTAATTTTAATACAGTTTTGAATCAATCTGCTCGCCACTGCCAAGTGACTAAAGAAAAGTGCCATTTTTTTTTTTACCTCTACACAAGCTTGTCAGGGCCAAAATGCAAAAGTGTTCAACTTTGTTTTTTTTAAGCATTTTATTGTTAATGTAACGACAACAAACGCCTACAATGATTATAGTCCTTAAAACATCTTTTACAGATTACAGTATAAACTGATCCCGATTAGTTACAAACAACGATATCAGCATTTGACGCATTTTAGGATTAAGGTAACTAAGTACACTCTTTATAGAAGCTAGAAAAAAACAAGAAACAGTTTCTATGGCAAATACGAGAGTAGAAAAAATACAATAAAGTAAAATAGCCCGACCAACCTTTTTTCTCTTAATGAGCCTGTTAGTCAGGCTCAAATTAACCAAAACGTCATTTATAAATACCGAACACTTTGTAATCTCTTAAACAACTTTGTTTGTCTTGTTTTTTTTTTCCTGAGTAGAAGTATGGAATACGACGTCTTGCTTGCTTGTACCAGGGTGTAATGCAATCGTTTTTTCCTTTTACAAATAAAAGACACAAGTGGCGACCTCTTTAACGACGTTTTTTAGCGAGTAGAGAAGGACGTAATTGCGGTAAGTCGTCACCATGTCATCTATAAGAGGACCTTGCTGTGAAGAAAATGGATTTCATTTCAGGGTAACTTTTGAAAACGGGTGTAACAACATTACCGTTACACTTTTTCCACATCGCTCCTCCATGAGATAACTAACCATTACATTTTTCGGGAATGACCGTGCAGCTACCAGTAGCTCAAGTTATTAGTTTTTTTATTCCCTGCCTAAACTAAAGGAAAATTTTGCCCAAAAGTGCCTCATTAAGGAGTTAACAGCAGTATACTAAGTTTTGTTTGGGTAGATTCAGTAATGGTCTTTTATATATTTTTGTTCTTTATTTCATCCCTGAAAACACCATTCTTTGGTACGAGAAGTGATTATCTTACCAGCAAGTTACCTTGAACCAGTGTTTGGAGATACACTCGAATGATGTTGTTCATCTGCGCGGTAAAATTTCCAGTTGCAGTGGTTGGTACAGGGAAGGAGTTCTTTTGCATCTGAAAAATTTGCAAAAGATGTTTAGACTTATCAGACTTATTTTGAATGAACTTAATCGCTGTCCCCAGTTGCTCAAATGGTGGATAGTGCTATCCAATAGATATTGCAATTAGTTTTTCTAATACTTATCGACTGGATACTGATTTATCCGATGGATAGCGCTACCCAGCTATTCAACAACTGTGGGGAATTAAAATTAAGTAATTAATCTATTTCGTTTTGCATCTAATCGTTTGGAATAAATGATGGCCTTAAGGGTTTTCACGATCTACTGTGAAAACACAGAGAAAATATGGATAGCTTTTGTAGGCTGTAAAAGTGAAATTTTTTAATCACATGCGAAATACTTTGTCGGGTTTCCTGGTGTCGTTTCGTTTGGACTTAAAAAATAAATCATTTTAAAGTAGTATCACGTTCTTGGCCTGCAAAAAATATATTCCGTGTTTGGGTTCCTTCGAAAAAGTTATAATTCAATTCAAATCAAAATTTTGTTACCTCGCGCATAAGCATTACAGATGTCGCATTGATGTCAGTGCTTATGTCCCAGAGCATCTGAGCCACTGAATTATGCAACGGCCCTTGATTTTCTTCATAGGATAAGGCCATGTACAGCGGACTGCTGAAAACATTCATCTTCTCATAGGCGATTGTTAGATTGTCCTTTAATTGCTTGAGAGAAAAAAAAGATATTCAAATACATTGCTAACAGCCACTCTAGAGCTGTCAACATTTATTGGATATACAGCAGAGAAACAAACCGGTTGGAGCAAGATATATTTAGTTCATTTGCTTTTTGTAAATTTAATGTTATTTTTTCAAATTTCTTCTGTTTTTTTTTTTAAGTAACTTGGTTGCACGAATTTGCACCTATTGTCAACTTCCTTCTTTTCGTTCAATCAATGTCCTTAAATAGAAAAAAAATCTAATGAATTTAGTCATAGCTTGTGACTTAATCATGAGAGTAAAGTCAGTGTTAGCTTTAGATGAAGGTTTTCAAACGGATACCTGGTTTAAGGAGCAAGATTGTGTGTTGATTTGTGGCGGAAAGCGGCTGAAGGGTGGTAAACTTGTTGAGTTGATGAAGTGGTACAGGTTTTTCATCTGCAATAAATAAATAAATAAATAAATAAGTCGATATTTAGATAAACAGTGAGATTAGATAGATAGATAGATAGATAGATAGATAGATAGATAGGGAAAAAAGGAGGTGAACATTTTCACTTTTCTATAATAGCTTACGAGATACTAGAATGAATTTCAACCGTCTCCTCGAGTTGCAAACTCCACGAGTGACACGTCTGAATCATTGAGCCGGTAATGCCGTCCAGTGACGTCACTACTCCTTTGCGTAATTAATTCATGCAGGAAGAACAACGCTATTTACAACTGGCAAACAAAGAAATATCGTCCGGAAAGGTCTGCACGGTAAATAATTGTTTTACTCTTGGTTTCCAGTTTTCGGCTAGTGACTTCACTGGACGATATGAGCTGCTTGTTTGATTTAGACGTCTTTCTCGGGAGATTGCGACTCGAAGCAGAGACGGCTGAAATTCAGGCCAGTAAGAAACCAGAAAAAAGACAATTGACAGTTATCTTTTGTTGGTAATAAATAATCAACAATTATCTGTTCAACGTTTTTATGCATCACTGTCAGTGGACAGTACAAATAAAATCGCTGGAAGTTTGTGATTCATGTGTTAGATTTCCTGTTCGAGAAATACATGTGATCATAGTCTTTTGGTATGTACCAATAGAAAAGGAACGTACGCGAGAGTTTGATGTAGTTTTCGAGTAGCATGTATTGAAAGAGAGAAAGGCTAAATAACCTTTCTTTAGAGAATATTACTTCTGATCAGCTACAAACCTCACACCATTCATACCTCATATGTGGCATTGGCAGTTTTGGAAGGAATCACATAAGTGACGAGGATTTGAATTGTCCTTGGTGCTGACTGTGGTGGGGCGCAGAGAGTTTGTGAACTCAACGTCACAGTAATTATGGCAGCAATAATCCCCTTAAAAAGTTTCATTTTTAATCTGTAAATAAAAAAAATTAAGCACTGAACAATAACTACAATCATACAAACAAAACAATTTCTCTCTTCTACAAAAGGGAGTGACGACCAAAAGCTGGTTTTCCCATTTATATAAATCGAACGCTTCTATTATCGCTGAAAGGGCGAAAGCTTGCATACAGGGTTCCCCATGCCTAACTCACAATTTTGCAGTTGTTACGTTAAAACTTCGCAGAGGGATGGTATGAAATAGATTTGTTCTCACCTTTCACGTAGGCCTTTGTAATTCAGCTTCTTTGCTGTGACTGTTAGTTTGTGTAATGTCCTTACTGTCTCTTATATGTTGACTGTAGAGGAAGATGTAAACTTCATCTTGCATCATTTTTTGCAAGGGTAAATTATGTGGTTTATTCCCTCGTTAATGTTCTTTCAATCATATATATTCTTGGTATGCTATCAGAAAGCCCGTCATTCAATTTTTTGGTGCAAAAATTGACTCGTGAACAAAACTGTATTGGTTTAGACACGCAAAACTGCGATCGTTTAATAGACGAAAACTTATTTCAAGGCTCATTTATATTTTTTACCGTTTTGAAATAAGATTTGCTTGTTTTTACTTCCGATTTATACATATCTCAACCTCGAGGCTAAATACTGGGCCGGGGAATTGCATTCGAACTCTGGTAGAAGTTCCTCAACAGGAGCGTTGGTCGTTAGTCACGGGTACAGTCTCAACTGTTATAGAAAATCACTTTCCTTAAGTGCAATATGAGCAATTGTTTGTAGATATGATATTCCATGTTTCTTTAAACATTTTGCCGCCCCAACGTCATTTGGAGTAGTGATAGGACCATTGATGCAATAGGTCTCCAATGGCATTTGCTTACTTTAGGATATCATTGTTTCTGTTTGGCACCAAAACAGGAATATAGTGTGGTTGTTGATGCCATTATGATAAAGATCGAAATACTTAACTATATTTGGCTTGGTTTATATTGGCCACCGATATGTATAAATGAAGCCAATACCTTATAATGGCCGTGTAAGTTGTTTTAAACGGATACTTAATTTATTGGTTACAACTTTTGTTGGTCAGCTAGAAACGCATGCACTTGGATAAAGATCATTTTAGCTATTGTAGGTCCTTTCAAGCGAGAATAGTTCATTCCGAAAGAGCCATAAAATGTAAAATAATTGCAAGATTCTAAAAAAAAATTCTGATTCAGCTAGACTGTGGCTAAATTAAAAGAAAACGTGTTTGCGTCTGTGAAGTGCATCCAGTGATCGCGGTCGTAAAAGTACCGGGAAAAACAAAGAATGAAACTTTGTTTTTTACGCGTATGGTCGGATTTTGGTTGTAATACAAATATAGAGTCAGTTTCACATTTCAGGAAGTTGTTCAACCATTTTTGATGAGTTAAATATAGATTTTCATGAGCACTGTCAAAGTTGAATATACTCGAGTGAGTGCTTGACCGTACCTTCCCATTCAAGAGGGAAGAATGCCTAGCAGCCTCTAAAACCCAAAAGAATTAGTTAATGTCAGTTAGAAAGTTACTCAGGTTATGACAAGGCGATTTCGGCCAGAAAGGCTAAACAAACGTTTTCTGACATAACCGTAAAATATGTCTTTGCTCGGCTGCACGTGCTATTCACACTTTGGTACGTTTCCGAGAAGTCCTCAATCAAGTGCAGGCTTTTTTGTCTTGACATTTATTTTCTGTTCTTCCTCTAACTTGCCCGGCAAACAAAAAAAGATAATTAATAACGAGGTTATTAAAGCAAGATTTTTGTTACAAGGTACATGATTGTATGACATTGCATCGCCGTCACTTTTTGAGCAAGGTCCCTAATGCTTATAGGTCCTTCTTGTAAAGAGAGACGAACAAATTTCCAAGACAGGTTTTTTTAATGCACACAGACTGTCCCCTTTAAAGGCAGTGTTTTACTTGGTATTTCCTTTCGCTCTTGGACTTTTCTAAAAACGCAAACACTTAAAGAGTGCACGAGTTGAAAAGTTTGTAAACTTTAGGCTGTAAATTTACCCAGACGCGTTTTCAATTTTCCTGCAGATTTGTCGGTATTTTTTCCTTCCGTTTATAAAAGTTGCCCCGAGAAAAACGCCTGACGGTGTACGTCTCTCAACGTTTGTCAACAGAACCTTATTAACCCTTTAAATCCCAATATACGCATACAAATTCTCCAAACTGATCTCTATACATTTTATTAAAGAATACATTGAGAGAATTTGATAAAAGATCAAAACATTTTCTCTCAGGTGATCATTTTATCAATTCTCACAACCTAATCTCTTGACATTGTATGGATATCGTTGGGAGAAAATTGATGTTGGTCACTATTGGGAATTAAAGGGTTAATAGAAGCCATATGTAACTTTTAAACCATAGGTGTAGGTGTCTGGATAATTTGATTCGAGTCCCGTTAGAAAATAAATTAAACTGAAGTTTCCAAACGCTTTTACCCGTTTTCCTAAACGCACCTTTCTTGTCAGCAAGAACGGGCTTCTCTTACTAGTTTGTAAATGTGATGATGTGTTTTTAAGGCCCTGTTTGTGTAGAGAAACCTTTTCTCAGGTAAGAAGGGTCACTCGCCTACCCAAGCAACCCTGGGTGAGCCAAATGTTCCTAAATTTACTTACAAACCTAGAAAAAGTTGGTTGGGTAGAAGGGGTGACCCACCTATCTGGGTCACCCTATTTCGGTGGCAGGGTCATCCTCCAAGCCGAGTCATCTTTTCTCCATATACTTTGGGTTACCTAGCCGAGTCAATCAGGTAAAGGCGAGAGAATCAGAGTATGCACGACCGCTGTTGTCAGCTCTTGGCGTGGACAAAAGGGTCAACTATATATAACAATCGCCCTCCATATAAACGGAGCTTAAATGTATGCCACGTGCATGATTCGCCTGTTAACTTGGCGCGTTCATTTGTTCTATAAATGATTACATTCAGGTTGCATTGACGTTTCCTTAGTCATATGTCTTGTTTTCTGTGTGGCCCGTGAAATGCTCTACTATTGGTAACGACAGAACTTTTTCTGCCACAAGATTTCCATTGGATAATTTCAGCGACGTGGAGAAGGGAAATCTGCCGTTTTGATAACAGCCCATCACCCACAGATACTTACCCAGGCTTTGCTCATTGGAGAGGACACTTCAGCTTCGCCGATAGGCGTCGAATCAAAATGGAATCAGCAGTATACCGGTTATGTGTCTTCAGCTCAATTTGCGTAAAGTTATACGCCACGGACTGTTTTTGACGATGGGAGAGACCATCGCGTTTCACTGGTAGCTCCTGCCCGCCTTAAACTGGGCTGCACCCGCCCGAAAGGTTGCTGTGTCGCCAAGAAACTGCCTTAAGTCTGGACACATGGAACTTCAGGACTATGATAACTGACCTCATAAACGATCTACTTGGATTGGATGAAATCTGTAAAGCAGCAGTCATCGACAAAAGCAAAGCATGCTACATATGGACAAGAAACAAATTGACTCCCCTCTGGCTAAGCAAGTCAGCAACCTGACCAGAGTGCATGATTTTGGGGGTTGTTGTCAGAAGCAGCCTGATTTTTCCCCTGCTACAGAAGGAACTGCGCTCATTCTATCTCTTCAGCTCCTCTCCTCCAATGGGCCTGTCAGTCTCATCATTGCTTACGCACCCACACTAAACTCCCCGGCTGAGACAAAGCATAGGTTCTACGAAGAGACAGGACCACTTCTTTATTCTTATTTACAGGACTACTTTGGCCTAGATGGGTATGTGCCGTTGAACAGGTTATGGATGTCTGCCTTATCGCTATTTAGTTTCACTATTTAGTGCCTCTGACATGGTGTCGCTAGAAAGGTTGTCTACATGTGTGGTAATAACAACGTTTTTTAAAAAAATTAAATTCTGTGATGTTAGGGACTGGTCAAAAAGTATAGAGGGGGATGGGCCGGAGCAGAGAGGGGGTGGGTCGTGAGCTTTTGAGCCTTGTGCAAGGGGTGGGTCGTGCAATTTGCAGCTACCCTTGGGGGGTGGGTCACCCTATTTTATTACATAGATAAGCACTAACAACTAACGAGACAGTTGACCACACTTGTTATATAAAACACAGCCAGCTGGAATTATTGCTAAAATACTCGCAAACCTGTTGTGCGAGAAAATGCAACGGGTGATAGACCAGACATCCCCTTTTTCTCTTCGTTTACCGTCGAATGCGTTTCCTGATATTGGGTCGGTCGGTCGGATTGAAAAAAAAAAAACTTAAAAAAAAATCACAAGAAGTCTCGGAATAGTGGGCCCTGGTACCCCAGGACGACGTTAAAAGTTAACATTCACATATTTGGATTAACAAAATGTAAAATATACTGTTAAAAATGTTCATGTTTTTGTTCTTGTTTTTCTCTGTGCTGTTACTATGCTCATTTTTCAGATTAAAAGAATTATTTCAAGTGAAAAATGGTGTAACTATGTCGTTACTTTTTTTTAAAAAATGCCAAAAATTTGGGTCGGTCGGACGACGGTAAACGGAGAAAAAAAAGAGGATGGCCTAACCTTGTTCTGTGCTTGACAAAATTTGTTGATACACTGCTTCAACCAATATCAAAATCACAGAAATCATACCTTTCACTGAAAAGACAAATGTGAAAAACCGAACATTTCTTTTTTCGATGGACGTTATGAGTCTTGACACAAATATACAGCAAAACGAGGGTATATTGAAATTGTCTGTCACCACGCATATGAAAATTTCTACCAAGACAACCCATTCCTACACACTACTTGCCGGAAATTCTTAGATTAATCCTCAAAGAAAATTTCTTCCACTTCAATGGAAAGCACTACCTACAAAACCATGGAACTGTAATGGGCACAAAGACAGCAGTTTTGATTCCTTTGCCAATATTTTCATGACATATATTGAAACAACAACTCTAAGCAAAACTGTATTTAGAACAACAGTTTGGAAATGCTACATACACGATGTCTTTTCCCTATGGGACATGAGTAAACCA